CAGGATAGCACTAACGGCTAAAAATAAGTTGGGATTCATAGACGGAAACCCATGACCAACCTAAGCAGCACGACCCCCACGCCACAGCTTGGTTACGTTGTAATAGTATGGTGGTTTCTTGGTTGTTGAATGCTGTCACCAAGGAGATAGCTGACAGTTTGTTATATCATGAAAGTGCACAATCCATCTGGACCGATTTACAACTCCGTTATCAGCAAAGTAATGCACCCCGTATTTATCAACTGAAGCAGAGCATGAACAAGCTTACTCAAGGATCACTCAGCATCAACACATACTACACACGAATGAAAACAATCTGGGATGAACTCAAAACCTTCCAACCAGCTCCAAGCTGTCACTGCGGAAACATGAAGGCGTGGAACGATTATCAGGAACAAGAGTTTATAATGACTTTCTTAATGGGATTAAATCCTTCCTATGCTGCTGTTAGAGCCCAAATTTTGATGATGGAATGCTCTCCATCCATTTTGAAAGTCTTCTCGCTGGTGGTGCAGGAGGAACGACACCGTGCAATCGGGCTCGACTCACATGCAGAAACAGGTCACGGTTCCGCACCCTCTGTTGCCCTAACTCAAGGAAGAAGGAGACCCATCTGTTCACACTGTGGGCTTGTGGGCCACACTGTGGACAGATGTTATCGCCTACATGGATACCCACCGGGCCTCAAGCCCAAGCCCAAAACATGTTTTAATGATGAAACTGTTCAGGCCCAAAAACAGACCCACAATGCTCCAGCTGTCTTTGATGAGGGGTCTGCCCAAACACGGGCCCAAGCCCGTAACCCACCAGCTATCTCTCGGGCCACTCATGGAACCAATTTTTTCAACCCGCCTGGCCCTTAATCCAAGCCCGGGTTCTTTTCAGCCAACCACACCTTGGCCCATGAAGTTTCATCCTCCTCGGGCATGCACCCGACCACAAGACAAGTGCAGAATTTTTCCGACTCTCTCGACAACTGCTTACCGGGATCTCATCCCGCTGCTTCTGTCGATAACTTAACCACATCGCAAATTCAGAACATTATTGCTCACCTAAGTGCACGCCTCCACCAACCCAACACCGCCATCATGCCTGACACTCTATCTCTCTCCATAAGTCATACCACCCTTGACCCTCACGCGGCAGGTATATCCTACACACCCTTTTGTCTTTCCAACTTCACACACACACTTACCTCTGAATACTGGATCATTGACTCTGGAGCCACACATCATATTTGTTGTACACCCATATTTTTCACACACCTTAAAACTGTGCATCCCATTCCCGTTACTTTACTAAATGGTAGTTCAGTGATAGTCAATCAAGTTGGAAGTACACCACTCACTGACACCCTAACTCTACATGATGTTCTCTTTGTCCCTCACTTTTCTTTTAACCTTGTCAGTGTCAGCATGTTGACCACCACCCACAACTGCACAATTAATTTTTCTCTTCATTCTTGTGTCATTCAGGACCGCACTCGGGACTTGTTGATTGGGAAGGGTAGACACATTGGCAACCTCTACTACTTAGCTACCAGATGTTTTCCTTTTCCTGCTGTTCATCATGTTTCCACTCACTTTAAAAGTAGTCTATGGCACTTTAGATTGGGTCATCCTTCCAATGTAAAATTTCAGTATATTAATGACTCCTTACAAACTTCGAATATTTCTCATTGTAAGATTTGTCATTTAGCTAAACAACGTAAATTATCTTTCGTTTCTAACAATAGATTATCTGATAATCCATTTGATCTAATCCACATTGACATTTGGGGACCCTTCTCTTCACCCACTGTCGAAGGATACAAATATTTTCTCACAATAGTTGATGATTGCACTAGAACTACTTGGGTGTATCTCCTTCGTCAAAAGTCCGACGTTCTTACTATTCTCCCTGAATTTTATACTCTTATACTTACACAATATAATATTTCCATTAAATCTGTGCGATCTGACAATGCGCACGAGCTGAATTTTCATTCTTTTTTCAAATCGAAGGGCATTGTTTCTTACCATTCTTGTGTTGAGACTCCCTAACAAAACTCTGTCGTTGAACGTAAACATCAACACATTTTAAATGTAGCTCGTGCTTTGCTGTTTCAATCCCATATTCCCCTTGTGTATTGGGGCGATTGCATCTTGACCGCTGTTTACCTAATTAACTGTACACCGTCCCCCTTGTTATCAAATAAAACTCCATTCGAACTGTTAACTAAAAAAAAACCTTCCTATGATCACTTGCGTACCTTTGGTTGTCTATGTTACTGCTCAACTCTTGATAGTTATCGCCACAAATTTTCACCTCGTTCCAAGGCTTGTGTCTTTCTCGATTATCCTTTGGGCTACAAAGGATATAAATTTCTCGACATCGAGAGCAACCAAATTTTTATCTCACGTAACGTCATTTTTCATGAACATATCTTCCCATTTTTTTCCTCTCAATTACCTGATCCCATTCACAATGATTTCTTTCACGATCGTGTTTTACCGGTTCCTGTCCATATATCTACACAATCCTCAGATTGTCTTGATACAACTATTTGCTCACAACGTGAATCCTCCCAAACACGCTCATCTCGCCCACTACGTACAACACGACCACCCTCTTATTTGTTTGACTATCACTGCTACCATACAGATACCCGTGCACTCTATCCTATTTCTTCGTTCCTTACTCATACCAAACTTACCTCCCAATATCACAACTTTATTTGCGCCATTTCCTCCCACACTGAGCCTACCAACTTTCATGAAGCTAACCAATCCGATGTTTGGATGAATGCTATGAATGTGGAGTTGCGTATCTTAGAGGATAATAACACTTAGTCCATTGTTTCCCTCCCTCCTGGGAAGAAACCTATTGACTGCAAGTGGGTTTACAAAATTAAATATCAAGCTGATGGGACCATAGAAAGATACAAAGACCGTCTGGTTGCTAAGGGCTACACACAACAATTTGGCATCGATTTTCTTGACACTTTTTCTCCTGTTGCTAAATTGGTTACTGTCAAGATTTTGCTTTCACTTGCTGCTATCCATGGTTGGCACCTGACTCAATTGGACGTCACCAACGCCTTTCTACATGGTGACCTTCACGAAAAAATTTATATGACTATTCCTCCTGGCTATTCTCCTCGAGAGGGGGAGACTTTTCCACATCAACCTGTTTGCCACCTCCACAAGTCAATCTATGGGTTGAAACAAGCTTCCCGACAGTGGTTTCATAAGTTTTCACGAATATTACTTCAAGAAGGCTTCTATCAGTCACAATGTGACCATTCCCTATTTGTCAGACAACAAGGTGAAACCTTCTTAGCATTGTTGGTTTATGTCGATGACATTGTTATTGCCAGTAATGACGATCAGGCTGTCGAAGAACTCAAAGGTACACTCAAACAAAAATTTAAAATGAAAGATTTGAGAATTCTCCGATATTTTCTTGGACCTGAAATTGCAAGAAATGACACAGGAATCACTTTGTGCCAAAGGAAATATGCATTGGATCTCTTAACTGAGACTGGATATCTTGGTTGTAAACCCTCATCTATTCCTATGGATCCTAATATCAAAATGTCTAAAGATGATGGCGAGCTCCTGAGTGATATCACCAGCTATCGACGACTAATTGGAAAACTGTTGTATTTAACCATCTCTCGCCCTGACATATGCTACTCTGTCAATAGATTGAGTCAATTTCTGGCTACTCCTAGAACCAGTCACCTCCAAGCCGCCTTACGGATTCTCCAGTACATCAAGAGAACCCTTGGACAAGGTCTTTTCTTTCCTTCATCATCTGCCATTCAGATTAAGGTCTTTTCTGATGCTGATTGGGGGATATGTCCGGATACTAGAAGATCCCTCACTGGTTTTTGTGTTTTCCTTGGGTCTTCATTAGTCTCATGGAAATCAAAGAAACAATAAGTCGTTTCTCGGTCATCTGCCGAAGCCGAATATTGCTCCATGACCAACACTACTTGCGAAATTGTTTGGACTCTGAAGCTGTTGCGTGACTTAAAAGTTCAACACCAAGGCCCTGCATTACTTTACTGTGATAATCAAGCTGCTCTACATATTGCTTCAAATCCAATGTATCATGAAAGAACAAACACATTGAACTTGATTGTCATTTTGTTCGTGAGAAGATTCAAGATGGTACCGTGAAGACGATGCACATATCCACTCGAAATCAACTGGCAGATTTAATGACAAAGGCCCTTCATCCTGCACAATTCGCCAATTTACTGAGTAAGATGGGCACAATAAATCTGTACCTTCCATCTTGAGGGGGAGTATTAAAAATAATTAATATATTTAAATTGTAACCGTTTTTTTATTCCTTTTTTCTTTTGTCCGCTGCCCACGTACCAGCACTGGTACGTTTTCCTGCATTATGTTTTCCTGCCTCTGTATGTTTTCCTGCATTTTTGTTTTCTTCTGTTATGGTGCCCCTGTGCCCTGTATTCTGTTTTATTTTTGTTTCTTCTGTTATGGTGTCATTGCTGATGGCTATATATATTCTGTAAGATGCAAACATATATAGGCAATAAAAATATTTCTTAAGTCCATTTTGCTCTGCCTCCTCTCTGTCAATTTTTCTATTAAAATGAAATGAAGCGTGCAAGGAAGCTGACCTCTCTGTATCTTTTGGTAGAGAAGCGAACAAAATCCACTGAAGCAACCTTGATTTCGAAGAAGGAAAAGTGAAATGGACAATCTCATTATCCACCAATTTCCTCCCTTTAGTAGTGGACAGCCCCTGGACCACAGCTCCCCCAACCAAATACCAATCGCATTCCTCGGGGAAGTCCCCATCCTCCAGCATTATGCTACTCAATCTTCGGTCTTCTGTTACCCCTCCTTTCTTCACAATAGCTGTTGTTGTCTCTTTCACAAAATCAGGATGAAACGGGACACTGAGCTTCGCCCGTTCAGCACCCGAACGAGGCGCTTGCGTCCCTTTCATCTCAGCTTCCTCGTGCTTATCTTCTTTCACCTGGCCTTCCTCTTTCGGTGTCGATTGCTTAACGTATTCAATGTCCATTTCTTGTTTGACACGAGCACCGTCTTCCACTGCCATGTGCTCCAAAATAGGTTCTTCTTTGACTAGAAACTTACTCCCAGTCCCCGAATACGACTTGGACCTCTGAGTTTAAGCCGTGAAAGGAAGTGGGATCTTTAGGCTCTTGCTTGATGGGTGTTGAAATCCGGACACCGGGGGCGGTGCGCTTCACGGCTGCCGGTATGGCTGAAAATCCAGGACTACCGACTCCAAGGGATCGGACCTTTTGGTCCTGCTCCGCCTCTTCGAGGGACATGGACTCCATATCTTGGAGCACGAGGAGTGGAAAGAGACGACGAAGAGGGAAAATAAATCTTGGGTTAATGAGAAAAAGAAAGATTCAGTTTGGAGGGGATAAAGGAGATATAGAAAGGGCGGGAAAATTTAAAACCGCGGTAAGTTTTTGTCACTTTTGACGCGAATAAAATGGGAAAAGCTACTGCAGTCTTGCTTCGGAAAAAACGCAGTTGAAAAAGGAAAGCGAATTTATTTACTGCTGTTGCCTATTGGCTGGGCAAAACTTTGTATTTTTTTTTTGTGCCCAGGAATATTTTTGCGTCATATTTAAAAACAATTAAAATGAACTAATATTTTAAAATAGAAAATATAGTTTATAAACATATACATAATTCAAGTTGAGAGAGATTCATCTAAAAAAAAAAAAAAAAAAAGAAAAATTACCAAATTAGAAAATGAGTTGACTCAACATAAAAATCCATTTTTAGGATTAACACCAATTTTAATAATTGATAAAAACTTTTCTTTCTTTTTTCTGGAAACCAAATTATAACATTTCGATATTCCGGGTCTTGTCAAAGACAAAACACACATACCAAGGTCTCTCAACTGCTTCCTCTGTATAATCCTGCCCCACCATGTGCACTTTAGAGAAGCGCTGTAACCTCTTTATTCTAACCCTCACCGGTGACGACGAACACCGGCTGAACCCCGATTTGATCAGCTTGATCCTTTCAACTCTCGACGGAGCCAAGTCCCAGGCCACCCGTGGCTCCGTTCTTATCACCACAGCCCAAGGTAAATTCTTCTCCAATGGCTTCGACCTCACATGGGCTCAGGCTGCCGGATCCGTCTCCGGGGCCCGAGACCGCCTGCACCACATGGTTGAATCTTTCAAACCGGTTGTAGCGGCGTTCCTTTCCCTTCCCATGCCGACAGTCGCAGCCATTCCGGGCCACGCCGCCGCCGCAGGATTCTTGCTGGCCCTCTGCCACGATTACGTGCTCATGAGGCGCGACAGAGGCGTGCTCTACATGTCCGAGGTGGACATCGGGCTGTCAATGCCAGAGTATTTTGCGGCGATGTTCAGGGCAAAGGTCAGCTCGGCTTCGGCTCGGCGGGAAATCCTGCTACGCGGGGCGAAGATAAAGGGGGCGGAGGCGTTGAACATGGGGATCGTGGATACGGTGCACGATAGCGCAGATGAAGTGGTGGAGGAGGCGGAGCGCCTGGGCGAGCAGTTGTCGGCGAGAAAGTGGAACGGCGAGGTGTACGCGGAGATCAGGAAGAGTCTGTACCCGGAACTCTGTGGCTTATTAGGATTGAGTCCCAAAGTTTTTGGAACTCCGAAGCTTTGATCCACAAAAACACTCAAAAGAGAATTCGAAAGAAAAAGAGAATCCATACTCCACTACCCAAAGGTTTGAAATTCCGGAGATATCAGGGATAATCAAATCGGAGGTAAGCTGGGTAATCTAGTACATGTTGGATTTGATTATTGAATGATTGTAAGGGAGGAATTTCCTTTTAAATCAGAAACTAAGAATAAAAAGAAAAAGGTGTAGTTTTTGTTTAAGTTAATTACATATACTGTTGATTGCTAAGTTATGATATAACAAAAACTATATTGATGGAATCTGGATTTGGTTTTATTAAAGCCACTAAATTGAGGGTTTTAGAGGAGTATGTTATGGTTTTTGGATTTCGTTATATGTTATTTTTTATTTAACACTTGAGCTCTAAGTAATCTCGCATCAGGGAATTAATTTGATGAATTATAGTTGATTGTTTTGTTATTTGGATTCAAGTGTTGAATTAATTTGTTGGAGATCAAAATCGCATCAGGGAATTAGTTTGTTGGAGATCAAAATGGCATAGACTGAATTTCCTATTTTATATGTGGCTGCTGCTTTCAGTCTTTGGAGTAGGTCAAGAAACGAAGGGTGATTTCATTCCATATATATCTAGCCTCTCTCTCTCTCTTCCATTTTATACTATGACTATTATTCTCCCCAAAAATTCTTTGTGAGGGGTTAGGTGTGTAAATTATCTTGTCCTGATTGGAAAACCAATTCAGAACTGAATCGGTATATCGCGCTGAACCAAATTATATATGATCCGGTCCAAACTTTTTGGTTTTTATCAGTCCAGGTTTAGTTTGGACTAAAATAATTTTAAAAAATATTATATATATATATATATATAAATTGTAAAACAGAAGAAGAAAAACCCCAAAAAGATGTTGACCTTCTACCTCCTTTTCACTTGAGACGCGCACGGGGCAGCGACACTGGGTCTGCCTTCCTTCACTGGCCACCGTATCGGGCGTTGCTTCAGCCTTCACTGCTCGGTCTCATGTTGTCACGTGCCGAGCCAGTCTCCAGGGTCCAGACACATGGTGATGCATGCAGCAACTTTTCTAGATATCACGTTTCAAAAAGTTTTACACGCGGTATTTTGAGTTAACAATGTTAGATGTCAATAACTGGAAGAGACTAGTTTAAATGTTGTTTGAAATACATAAATTAAAATTATATTTTAACAAAAAAAATTATAATTTATGCTTTAATCGTGGTAGAACCATTATTGGATGATTGGATCTTAAAAACAATAAAAACATTTAAGAGATCAACGATGTTATAGTGTATATAGGGTGGTGAAAAATACAACGTAAATATGTGAAAGAAGAATGCGATATATCTTGATTTTATGATTTGGGAATTTTAGTTATATTTTTCCTAGTATCTTTAAGATCCAATGAACAAATTGTGATTCTTGGTGTGTGGTGTGGTTTGAAGTTGGGACTCAGAAAAGTCTGTAGTTTGTATAAGGAAAACTCTTTTCTAACCAGAGAGTTTCTCTCTTTCTTATATAGCCACAATGGAGTATGCATTCTTACCGTTCAAAGTAAATAGATTTGTAAAGAAACTCCATATTAGAGCAACAATACCACTTAATTTTACTTGAATAACTCCAATAAATAGAACCTTCAAATTAACATGTGAAAATGGATCAGAGCAGTATCTCTTACACTCTTCAACTATGAATTCATGTAACACATTGCTTGTGCTTGCAGGAAATAAGAATCCTTGTATTTTCTGCCACTTCCAACATGGATGCCATTTCTTATCCAATCCTCTCGGTGAATCCAAGCATCTCGACCGAAATCAAGAATTCCAAGTATCTGAGATTGAACATGACAGCCATACGAAGAACGCAGTAGTAAGTAAAACTACCACATCTAGATAAAGCAGTTGAAGCTTTCAATAAAGTACGGACTATGAAGCTGAGAGAACAATAGAGCAGTCTGGCCATTGACAATCTGAAAGATTTTAACATGTAGTAGCCAAGAGGTATAGCTAAGTTGACTCAAACAAAACACTTCCTACCTATATATAACTTTCAAAAGCCAATGACAGCATTCAGGGCAATGACCAGAAAATGAAAAGGTCAAACTAGCCACAGATCCATAATATTCATTCTTGATTAGGCGTGAGAGTGCTCATGTTGAAAAATAAACCAGACAACAAATTATGTGCAGCACAATACTTAGACAACAAAAACAAAATGTTAAGATTAAATATCCAGTGCCTTCTCTACTTTCCATACCAGAAGGAAAAATTTCTCTGTTGTCCTCACAGTCTAGACTGTTTATTGATGTTAGTTTGCCACGGGAATTTGAACTAATTAAAAATGACATTGGGACAAGGATTTGAGATTGGGATCACATTTCCCATCCCTGATTAGGACTGCTTTTTTGAATTTGTCCTATTTCTCCAGCCTGGATTAACCCAGTTCCCATCACCACCATCGGGGTGTAAGCCGATAATGTTTTTTTTTCCCCTTAATTTCTTATACTTAAAATATCTTTGAAATAAAATGTTAAATTAATGCTACTGTGTAAATATTCAAAAACTTCGAATTGATTACTCAAATAACAATTACTCAATTTTAATTCTTCAGAAAGAATAATTATCCAAACATTTCAAATTCATGTAACAAAGTATTAGATACATAAGCCTAATTAGGTAAATTGGCAAAGTACGTAACATAAAAAATATAAAATTCAATCAAGGATGCGGTGGACATCATCATCCACATCCATTGCTATTTACATTGAGGCAGAAAATTCTCCATCCCAGTTTAAAAAGTTTCTCGGTGGGTTTTAAAACCTACGTTTAACAGATAAAATCCAGCGAGACAAGTTCAAATTTCTATCCCTATGATAAATTATTAACCTAGAACGCATGCATAAATCATCCCACATGGAGCTTAAGAACTAATTTACTGGAAAAAGAGGTTCATGAATTCTATTGAACTCCATGGCTCACAATGTTGCATTTTATACTCTGAAAATAAACAAAAATAGTGAACGATTTCCTAAAAAAGTTGAAACCTTAAAGGTGAGAAGATGCAGATTTGCCATCAACATCAAAATAACATTATGCAAAAAAATCAACTTGTCCTCACTATAATCTTTTAGTTCATTTTCAACCCCAGGAATCATAATGAACTAAGAATTACCTATTTGGGAAGAAAGAAAAAAGAACTAAGAATTACCTAGTACGCAAACAACTTGTAAAATTCATAAAAAATTTTCACTCCTCGTTTTTAGTAGAGCATGGTATAGTCAAACATACTTTCTACATACTTATTCTCTAGTATACTTCTTTTCACAGTTTTCCTTTTGTTGGCATAAAAATCCTTTTAAATACCTATTTATGTTCTTTTGCTAATATATAATAAAATTTACAAGATTTTATACATGGTATGTGATCCAGGATAGTGTTAGGAAAAAGAAAAAAAAGCTGTTCAGTGCCAAATGCTAGGACAAAAAAACAAGTTAGCATCTGTACAGCCTGTTTTCAGCGTATCCACCCCCAAGTTTAGTGATGACATCCTCTGGCAACCTCCTGCTAGCGGTCCAATCACCGTCTTTGTTTTTGCCACTGGTGATTCACGTGCCACTTGATCTTCTCACTGGAGATTGATTCCACCATTATTTTGATAGGCATAAGGTTTAGGACTTCTTCAGTCTACATAATCCGTTACCCACCTTCTGCTTGTTTGCCTTCCCAGTTCTCTATCTAATCTTATGTTTGTTAGTCTGTTACTGATTTATTGCCTTCATATTTCTTGCCAATTTTGTTGTTATTCAGTATTTAAAGACATTAGCAGGAGGTTGGCTAAGGACATGGATCTGAGGGCTGGTATTATCTTGATTCTTCTTCTCCAATACCATGTTCTATAGTAGTCACTCTTCTAGATTACAGTTGTTTGGTTTGTGCCTCTCTAGAGAAATTAGAGAAGTTAGTTCCTAATTTGGGACATGCATCTAATCTTTAGTGTGAATCTTGTCAGATAGGGAAACATCACCATGTTCCTTTTTTATTCTTGTTTCAATAGAAGAGTTAAGCGACCTTTAATGGCAGTTCATTCAGACGCTTAGGGTCCTAGTCGTGTTTTGTATAGTTTGGTTCCAATTTTATTATTCTTCTTGATGACTTTCAAGAATAACATGGCTTTATTTAATGAAAAACCTTTAAGATTAATCTTTAGATTTGTGCTCTCTGCTCAAAATCCAAATTCACTGATATAAATGTGCATTTTTCTAAGTGACAATCCAAAAGAACATTTTTTAATAGCCTTTACAACATTCATGAATCAATCTGAGATAATCCATCAATCCTCTTCTGTACACAACCCACAAGAGAATGGTGTTGTTGAGCAGACAATCCAACACTTAACTGAAATAAGACATACACTATTGATTTATGAGTATTCCTAAACTATTTTCAGTTGATGCTCTTGCTATTTGCTATCTTACTAATCACATGCCTTTCTTCCATTCTTCAAGGTGAGGTTTCCCACATTGTTCTTCTTCCTACTACGGGTTTGTTTCCATTGCCTCTGATTTTTTGTGATTATGTTTGTTTTGCTCACCAATTACAACTTGGTGTTGGTAAGTTAGATATGAAAGCTCCTGAATGTCTTTTTTCTTGGGTATTCTCGTTTTCAAAAAGGCTATTGGCATCACAGTCCTAATTAAATCAACAGTTTACATGTGCTAATATCTTTTTTAAAGTCTATTCCCTTCTTCGCTAAGTCACTTTCAATGACTGATCTTCATCATTGTCTTCCTCTACTGTGTTTTTTTCTAATGAAGGAGTCTCCACTATCACACAACTTTCTAATCTTAATCCTGCTAGTCGTTTGATCATCCCAATTTGCAGGTTTTTAGTTAGACACCTTCAACTGATGGTAGACAATCACAAACATTCAGTACTTTATTAACCAAGCCACCATCTCCTATTCCTTCAACAGCTAACTCTGATTTACCCATTGCCCTTTGGAAAAGGTGGTATGTTCTTGTACTTCTAACCTGACATAATTTTATTTCTTAAGATCGGTTATACTCATCCTAATTGTGCATTTGTCACCTCTGTTTTCACTGTTTCTGTTCCTGCCTGTGAGTGAAGCTCTTTCGGATCTTGAATGGAGATAGACAATACAAAAAGGGATGTCTGTATTGAAGGTGAATGGTATTTGGGGTTTGGTCAGTAGATTTTCATTGTTAAAGTTAATCCAAAAGTTTCTGTTAATTGTCTCAATGCCTGATAGGTGCTCGAAGGCTATATTTTAAATATATGGAGTAGACTATTCTAACCTCTTCCCTTGCTGCCAAAATCACTTTAGTTTGATTTATTTTTCCGGTGGCTAACCCTAATTGGCTCTCGTGCTAACTAAATTCAAAAAATGCATTTCTACATGGTGATTTAGATAAAAACCATTTATGTGGAGCAATTCCAAAGGTTGTTTGCTCACAGGGAGTCCACAATGTTTTGCACAGAATCTCAATAATATTTTATCAAAAATAATTTTCTAAAATATGGTTGCTTTTGATGAGAACAGATCTTTAGCAATAGCAACTAAAAGCAATTTCTTCTCCAAAGAAGCTTTTTCCTCAACACTACCGAACGGAGCCTTGGACTACTTACATGAAGTTAGCTAACTAACTTATGTGCTCATAAAATCCTGAATCCTGCTTGTGTGGACTTCATTTGTAACAAGCTTGGTACATATCATATATATGTTCCAACTTTAGAGGGAATGCTATGATATTAAAAATATTTCCTAATTAGTCACATTCCTAGTATAAGTCTTTCTTATATAGTTAATTTTATATTCATATTTTTTTTTTGGTTAGCAAATAATGCTAACATCAAAAATATGAAGCACTTACTTCATTCTCTTAATTCCATGCAAGTAATTCCTTTTTCCCATAAAAACCATGACATTCACTTGCATGTAGTAAAATTCATAAATACAAATGATTTCTAGCATTCTGATAACTATGTGAGTGAGCTGTAAACATGCTATATTTTATGATATAACACATGAAACATCAAATATCATTTCAAAATGGAAGTGAAATAAGTAATTAAAGATTCTTCAGATCAAGTTCACATTGAAATTGCAGTAAAATTGCAGATTTTTCTAGGAGCAACTTGACAGACACAATCTCAAGCAAACAGAGGAATGCAACATAATGTCAACGGATAATGGCTTACCGCTCCTCCTTTCCAAGACACAAAATTTGGATCTGTCCTTGACTGCAAAACCTGTTTCACACATAGGAAGGGTAATTAAAATCAAAATTTGACATCTACAACCGACATTATCTGGAAAACAATTAGTATAAATCACACGAATAGTTTTTGAAAGAAAACATTCATTGAAAGATACAAAGATGGTATCACCCAAATACAAAAAATTTACATATTATTTAGAGACAAAGTATAGCAGATTTATAATATCTATGCCCTCTGGAATGGATCTTCCTTTCATCAACCAATTTGTAGAATCCTCCGGCAGTTATATCTAATTTCAGGATAGCATGGGATGGATTTTTGGAAGGTTTCCTGTTCTTCTTCTTCCAAATAGCCCAAATATAGACAAAGGAATAATCATCAAAAGAGACAAAGGTATAACTGTAGAATAGGAGTCATTTTACTGATTGACCTTAAAGAACTCATTGCATTTATATCGAAATAAAAAACAAAGCAACACAGTTATAGAGAGAATCAGAAAGGTGGATTGCATGCAGAAAAATTAACTTGGATCCTACCCTTCAGGATTGGTCCTATTGATTTTATCTTGAGCCATATCTTCAAAAAAGATACAGCAATCCAGTATAAAGAAAGCACATAAATAAAGTCATTAATCTTACTAAAGATTTTACTAAAACAAGCCTTTTCATGAATCTACTGATCTACCTCGATCATCGTGCTTTTCTTTAAGTAAATAAAAGAAATGTCAGAAAGTCAATAGTGAACCTGATAAGTCAGGCATCACAAAGTTACATGCATAATATGATCAAATTTACAAAATCAGTATTGGGTTTCATATGATAATTTGACAGTAACTTGTCAATACCATACAAATGTTACAAAGCAAAAAAAAGCAAAACCTGCTCTGATTTGGCAGAATCAAAATCGAGAAGAAAGAAAAGGTAAACTGACCTCAACTGTATCGATTGCTTCATTTGAAGGAATTGCATGTAAAACTCTGGAAAAAGGATAAATCATGAAAACAAATTATTGAGGCACCAGAATCACCTTTTTGGAATACATATTACAGGATACTACAAATCTATAAAGAAAGAAGTATGACAGTTCATTCACAAATGAAGAAGATATGGCTGGGTGAAATATGTTTCTGTGAAGCTAGTAATAAGCAAACCAAGATAAAGCTTAAGCAGACAGAAAGTGATTAAAGTTTGCCTTGCAATAAATATTATAAGACACTGTCTACAAGAATGTTGAATGTTTACGATCTCAGAATCAAAGTTCTGGAGAAGTAATTGATCTATGACCTATTACATGACTGAAGATCCAACAAATGAAGTAAACTGTCCAGACTGATTTAATAAGAATCTATGCTATATGGACAGGATGTATATCCAAGCCTTTGTGCTTGCCACATGAAATGTTCTAGAGCAAATGAAAGCGTTACACCATATTTTAATTCTTAACCCCCACTAATTTGTAACAATAAAAACCATAATCATAAGCAAATATAAAATCCAAGTAAATTCCTGATGCAAATAACACGAGCGAAACCAACCTTTCCTCAACGGCAGGAATTAGACCCCCCGTCAAAGCTACTCCTCCAATCTGAAGAGATATGAAAACATGATTCTGCCAGTGCACAGATAATATTGACAAAACAAATACAATCTAACAGATTTTTGCCAGAACTTACCAATTGAATGCTACAGAACAATTTTCTCTGAAGGTCTATGCGACCTGAAAATAGACCATAATTACTACAAATTATATCATGCTAAAGCTTGTTATAACCCAACAGAAGGAATATGCAAACCTACCAGTTGAAAGAATGCTGTTAGTTATAGCTTCTGCAAGGCCAACCTTCTCTTCTTTCTTTGGTTTAGTTGGGAAAACTGGATAGCTCTCCCACATTGGTAAGCCAACATTAACACCAGCGAACAAGTTATCTGACATATCACATCTTCTAGGAAAGTCCACATGCCATGTATCTTCTAACATATCCTCATGATCATGAAACCTGATGAAATACAATCTTACACCAGAAATAGAAACAATAGCTAAGCACTTGTTGCCTCATAAGCACTACTAACCAAAAGCGTGGTGGTGGAGGATATACATCAGGAACCAAAAGCGTTGGGTAAAACAAACCCATAGGCGGAACCTATTTGAAGAAATCCATAGTTATATATTTTTTCATATGAATAGCCTACATAAAAAGAAGATAAAAAACAAGAAAATTTCATTTTAGAAGGCAGTACATTAAGAGCAGTTAGCCTTGTCTTGTGAGATCCAGGTGGCATGCTATCCTCATGAGAGTGAACTATGGTAACAATATCAAGCTCCCCTTCCTGTATAAAGTACGTAAAAAGGAAATAATCTTGAGTATGACTGACGTATAAACTACATTGCATTCATGACTAACAAATGTTCCAAACGGGCAATCATGCCACTGTAATATTGCAAGAAAAAAAGACCACAAGCTCCAAAACAAAATCATTGTATGTAACTCTTTGAAAAAGAGCCTCTTTGATCCTGCGCATGACAATCAACTTCCTGCCATTAACAAATGAAGCAGAAGTGAAATCAAGAAAATGTAAGACAATTACGATTAATAAAAACTCACTTTAATCTCACAGTACGATTCTTTTAGTCTGTTAAGCATCAGCAAATCTATAGGCTTTGACAAAGGATCAATACGAATATGGGGCCACGTCTGATGATGTCTCTGAATCCACAGAAGGCATCTTGATATATCCTGAAAAATAAAGTCATGAACTGCTGCAAGTGAACATCTAGTAATAAAATTATGAAGCCAGTAATGCAGAAAGAAGAATATTACGTGTTTGTAAAGCAGAGAACTAGACAGAACTGTTTCAGCTACATCTAATAAGTAGGACAAATGACAAGTGCCAAATTCCTGGCTTTAGCATATCCAAGAAGATGAGAGGAAAAGAAAACATTTGAGAATCATTACCTTCAGAATCTCCAGAAGAAGCGAAGCAAAAAGGAAAGAAAATGACAATTTTCCAATATGGATTGCATATCTTCAGTAGCAAAATGTGTAAAATGAAAAAATTCCGTTAACTCTACCAGCCCTCATTATACCATTTCCTAACCATTTTTTTTATTGGAAGGTCAAGGTGCCAAGTGGGAAAGAAACAGGTTGTTGTCAAAGTTCAGATTCCTACACTTCCAAAGCCTAAAAAGAAGGATGGATGATGTACATACAACTCCAATTCATAAAGATAATTCTTTTTTAAGGAAAAAAAAGTTACATAGTATGGGTATAATTAGTTCAATGAGGTCCCTTGTATAAAAGTAAAGTAAATATAAGAAAACAAATAGTATTATTAAACTGTAAAATGACATTAACCCCTTCTGAAAGTAAGATGCTTAAAAAGCATTTAACACATGATCAGTGACAAGATGAGGCAACTATAAGAAAAAGTCAGGTAGTCCAGATTTGGATCTAGTTATGGATTAAGCTGCAAGATAATCTAGGAAGGATTAGAGGATTCAGGGGCTTTTTAGATTCTTGGTTCAATTCCTCGAGTATTTTGTTTATAGGGAATCCTATAATTTATGATGAGGATTAAGGGGAACTTATTGACATGTTGTCTTGTATCTTTCTAAGATGTACACGACGCAGCACACTCTTGGCGCCTCTTAATAGCATTTCTTCTTTTTCTTATTTTTTTAAAAATAGCATTTCTTCTTTTTCTTATTTAAAAAGAAAATAGTATTTCTTCTTTTTCTCTTAAAAAAGGGGTTCCTGTCTTCCTCCCTTATTGCAACAAAATTGAAGTGCATAAAGAAGCCCACCAATCTCAGAGTTTAGATAGCACTCTACTTCGAA